GAGTGGGGCTCTGTGGTGGGCCGTTGGGCAGGCGGGTCATGCGGCAGTTTGCTCAGCCTCCTCCCCTCTCAGCACAAGGAGTGACGCGGAGCCCCTGCCCCCAAGCACCAAAGGGCAGCGGTGTTGGCTTTGCTCCCTGGAGCCCGGTGGACCCTGAAGAAAGGCCACACCTGCAGCTCGTGGGCACCCTCGTTTAGGACTGGGGTCCCATGGACAAAAGTCAGGTCCACAACTGCCACTTAAAATAAAGTTCTTTTAATAGTCTCCATTGAATTGGTTTATTTGCTGTTAATAAATTGGCAACACAAGGAGGGGCCAAGGGTGGGCTCCAGCCAGGCGCCTGTGTGGGAGCTTGGTCAGGACACCCTGCTCTGGGGTTGGGCACAGCCACCCCGGGGCCCCACAGGGAGAGGAGGACCCTTCACTTCTAGAGGGAACCCCACAGGATGAACACAGTGGCCAATGAGCAAACAGAACCAGAGAACAGGTGGGGCAGGTGGGCAGGCTGGGGGGCATTCTCTTCTCCCCCACCCCTGCCCAGGGCTCAGAAGCCTGGCTCACAGATTGAGAGGAGGGTGCCCCGGTCTCCCCTCCCCATCCTGGGACTGACAGTTGAGCTCAGACAGCTGTTTGAAACGCCCCTTTACCGCTAGATCCTGAAGGGAAAGGGGGCACAGTGCCCTGTCCTCATCACAGGGCTGGAGGGAACTGAGGCTCCCCAGTGACCTGGGGCCCTTAGGCCCAAGGACTTCTAAGACGTGCCCCCCACCAAGCCTGCACTGAAGACCTGGGGCAGGCAGAGAGCAGCAGGGAGGTGGGGGAAGGACGGGAGCAGGGCGTGTGGCACAAGTACCCACGCTCACCGAACTGGCCCAGCCCAGCCCAGCAGCCTGCCAAGGTCACTCGTCAGTGAAGTCCCTGTCTATGTCCATGTAGGGCTCCTCGATGTAGCTGACGAGGGCGGAGGGCGACTGGCGGTCTGGGTTCAGCAGGATGGACACCGTCTCCTTCCAGTATGAGAAGCTGATGCAGGAGCTCTGGGTGAAGAGGGAGAGGCTGGGGGGCGCCTGGAGAGGACCCAGGTTAAGCCCAGCACCCGCAGAGGGTGCCTAGGTAAAGGGGCCTATACCACACGGCCCACGCACCCTGAGGGAGGCGGGTCTGCTGGCCCAGGAGGGCGGGGCACTCACATTCTCCAGGCAGGTGCTGTCCTTGTCCTTGTGCAGGTAATGCTGCTGCCAAAAGCGCAGCAGGTTGTGGAAGTTGTTGAGCAGGAAGCCTGGGTACTTCTTGCTGTGCTCCATCCGCTGCAGCAGCCGCAGGTACAGGGGCAACCGCTCTTTCCGCCGGGCCAGCATCAGAATCACCAGACTGGTGTTGAGGCAGCTGACATTTTCCTGCAAAGCCCCAGGCCCCGATCAGGCGAGGCTGACTACTGAGCTGCTCTGCTGAGCCTGCCGCAGGAGGAGCCTTCCCACTAGCAGCTCAGCGAAGCTCCTGAGGCTTAAACCTCCAGGCAGGACTAGCTGCACCATCTAAGTTTATAATGTTCCCTGGGCACTGGATCGTGACATCAGGAGGGGGGTCCAGCCTCTTGTTCACTCAGCAGGCCAAGGCCATGGCGTGTGTGAGATGTGGGAGCGCAGCTGCACTGAGAGGCCTTCTCAGGAAGGGAAGGCTGCACAGCTTCTTGGTGAAGGAGGAGGGTCTCACTCTGGTCCCAAAGCCATGCTCCGCAGGAGTGTGGAGAGCGCCGGCCAATCCCAACTCTGCTCTGCTCAGCTCAGCTGTGACCCCAAGAGACAGCTGCTCTGCCGTGAGCCCCTGAGCCCCTGCTACGACCCAGGGCACTCAGTCCTGTCTGCACAGGCAAAGCTGGCAGGTGGGCTGGGAGGGTTTACTAGAGCCAGGAAATGCACCTCGAGGGTCGGCTGGGCTCCAGGATGAAGAGCCAGTTCCACCTGCCTCTCTTTGGTATGCTGGTCAAGGCCCTCACCTGGGTCAGCGTCTGCACGTGGATGATGTTGATGAGGCGGAAGAGGAAGGACATCTGTGTGGGCACCTGGGCTATGTAGGCAAGCAGGCGGCACTCGGACAGGACCTCAGCCACTGGGGACAGAGGCAGGGTGGTGAGCAGCAGCTGAGAAGTGGTCTTTGGCCTGGCCACCCAGGGCTCCAGGTAAGCCCTCGCCAGGGCCAGAGCTCCTGGGAGTCCCTCGCTGTCAAATAATTCAAATCCAGATGCTCCAGAGAGCATAGCAACTTGCCAACTCGTCTATGCAGGGACTCTTCTCTCCTCAATGCACCCACCCTCACTCACCCCATCTGGCTCCAGACCACTGATCCCTATCACAGCAACACAGGGCAACACGAAGACACCATCGGGGGTTGAGTTTCCAGGAGACCCACGCGCGGCCACAACCAAAGCTGGGCCCACTTGGGTGTCCAGTCCCTTCTGGCTCGAGGGTGGGCTGCCCGTGAGGCACCAGCGCTGATGTGCTGCTTCCCCCGGCCTTCCCTTACCTTTCATGTCCACCTGGTTTTCAAATCGGTCCAGGGACAGGGTGACACAGCGCACCAGCATGTTCGAGTCCACCAGCGAGCTGTTGATCTGCTTCAGGAACACCTGGAACTGGAGCAGAGCCGGGGCTGAGCGGGAGACGGTGGGCTGTGGGCTGGAGAAGGGTGGCTCCAAGTGGGTAAGGGCTGCCGGGGGCAGAGCCGGGTGCTGGACTCCTCTCATTGACCTGGGAGTCCCAGCTGAGTGTCCTATGCGTCCACCTGTGAGCCTAATGCCCCAGGCCCTGTCCAGCCCTCCCATCCCACGGCCTCAAGATGGTTTTTCAGTTTCACTTCCCACCAGCGGCTGGATCTCTCTGCATGCTGAGGAGCACTTATTGGGAATGCCCAGCAGAGGAGGTCTCCAGAACAGCGCGCCACAATGCCTTTTCCACACTCCAGCAGGCCCAGGGAGCCTGCGCTGTCTTACCTTTGCATCAGTGTTGATGTATTTATTGAACCTCTTGAAGGCGTCAACATTGAACTTCATCAGCTCCCCCAGCAGGTCAAAGTAGCTTTGGAGCACATCCCTGGACTTACATTCGCTGTCCACAATGCAGTACAGGATGTGCTGGGGAAGGGGAGACACAGGGGTACTGCCAGTGTTGCTGGGCCCCGGGGCCCACCTCTCCAAGGCCTGGACACGGACGAAGCCTACACAGGATCTTCGTCCGCAGGCACCCAGGCCAGTGGTGTCTGCTCCCCTAAGGATGCTGGTGGCTCCAAGGGCAGGGCCAGGTCTGAGCTACTTCTGACCTGGCAGAGCAGGGCAGGCTGGGGTACGGAGCCCTGGCTTGTTTCGCTGGCCCAGTGCTGCCAGCTGAAGCCTGTGGCCAGCTCTGTGATGACAAGATAGCCAGGGCTTTACAGCTCCCAGGTGACATGGACACCTGTCACCGCTGAGCACCGAGCCAGGCAAGGAAAGCAAGATCGAACTTCAAGGAAGGGGACAGGGCACATTTTGACCCTACAGTCTATTTTTGTGTTTAGGAATGAAACTGTTTCAATACAGTTTATGCTAAAATCAATAAATCATCAAATATGTGAAGCCAATTAATTAACTCCTTGATGACTTTTCTTTTTCTAAAACCATGATTGCACTGTTTTTAGATCCCCTTGATTTTTCCTTATGAATTTTACAAACGACTTATTTCCTGGGTTCATTTCTTGCCTGTATCACTTTTCTTTTCCCTAAACCAACGAGATCTTTGGCCAGTTTGTGCCCCCACCTTTGACAAATAAAACTTTTACGGCAGATTATTTTTTAAACAAAGGGAAATTAACTTTTAGTTTGGATCAAAGCAGCCTCAGGGTCAAAAGGCCTTGCTGGGCTGCTTCAAACCTTCCCTTTATGCATCCCCCCCCCCCCCTTAAGCAACACCCCTAGGGAACCGGCACTTGGAAACCTGGAGCTAACAGTAGGGCCGCCTGGCATTTTAAAGAGCTCTGGGGGCTCTGGACAAACAGTCTGGGTCTCGGGCAGGGGCACAACTTCAGACCATTACCTCCAAAAGGCCTCGCTTCAGCAGGAACATCTGGTCTGCATAGGAGGTGGTCCCTCGGAGGAAGCTCTCCACAGCCCGAGCTTGCCAAAACCTGCGACCCAAATGATGACCTGGCCCAGGTGGCTAAGGCTGCCTTCTTTTCCCAAGGGCTTGGGAGTTGCTTGCTGCCTTTTTATTTACTCAACATTAGGCATCAGACTAGCCACTGGGACAGGGCAGCCTGATAGCAGGACAGAGCGCCCATCCCCACAGAGCTGACAGCACAGCCTCTTCCACTCGGTTGTCACATACATGATGGTGTCTTGGGCAGAGGGCTGGTCCTGGTGAACCACCTGGGAAATGCACTCTACGCTCTGCCACCCAGCAGGACAGAGAGGGGAAGGGAAGCGGGAGGGGCCTGGCAGGCATGTGGAAAGTGCTGCCCTCACAGAGGATGGGCTGTCCCAGAGAACACTGGTTGGGGTTGACTTAGTGGCCCGGGGGCAGAACTGGGATTCATGGAGCGAGGGTGGCGGCAAGGCAGGGTCGAATGCCTGGCACCTCTGGGCTGGAGCTTACTGACAGCTCCCACCCCAGCCTTAGGGAAATGCTTCCCTTACCCACTACCTCCTGCTCCTATCCTGGAAGACTCATCTCACAAGAGTCTCAGGATCTCCGAGAAGTTTGCCTGTCTGAGAGCTCCCACAGGCAGGGGGAAGAAGCCATTCTTGGGCAGAGCCTGATGCAAGTCCTTGCCAGACAGCCCGAAGAGCTGTGCTGTTCCGCTCTGCTCTATCACTCCTGTTTGTGGGAAACACGCAACTCCAAGTGGCAGGGACGCCCCCCCCCATCTGTGCTCTCACTGGGTTCTGCTTGGTGAACCACACGCCTGCCCAGCTGATGCAACAAGAAGAGTGCAGCCAGAGCCCTGCCCCGAGAGAAGCCAGAGTTCTGGGGGTGGGTGGGTGAGAAAACCGGTGACTACAGAAAGTACTTTAGAAGCCCCTGGGCTCCTGGAGCCTTCAGGGTGTCTGGAAGCTACCCCAGACCCACCTAAAGGATGACTCGGCCGGCTCCTTCTTCATGACCTGCAGCAGGCGTGTCAACAAGCCTCTCTTTCCATCACACACCAGACTCCTGAAAGGAAAGACAGGGAAACTGGTGGCAGGCCAGAATGCTAACAGGGGCCAAGCTCCACATGGCCAAAGGACTTGGGCATGGGTGGGTCACTGCTGGCTAAGGCGGGTGAGGGAACACAGGGACACTTCCTAGTCAGCAGTCTGCCCCATCTGCCTGGGTCCAGAGCAGCTCGGAACTCTGCAGTCAGAACCAAGTAGCCAATCTGTCACACCAACCACAGGCCGGCTTTCCCTTCTCGAGCCTCTGGCAGGGATCAGAGGCCATGTAGGGAGGGCTCAGAACTGCTAGAGGGTTGGTTGGTTGTACCCAGAGCAGGTTTGAATACAGGTCGCCATGGAGCCTTGCAGGGGGGCCAAGTTAGTGCCAACAGGATGGGGCAGGCTCTAAGTCCTAGCCGGGCCGTGGACAAGTACTAGCGCCTGCAGGACTTAGCGTCACGGATCCTGACGCTAAAGCAACAGGTGAGGAAGTGACTCTGAGCCCACAATGGGGGGTCCTGGATGCCAATACACCCTCTTTCAATAGAGCAGCTCTACTTCTATCCACCATAGACACGAGGGTGCAAGTCCATCTGATTTCATTTGAGCAAAGAATTCTAAAATGTCTTAAAACAAAAAACAAAACCCACGGAATTCTACTGCCTTAAAAATTAAGCAAAGCAGCAAAGCTGACCTCCAGCCGGCAACTTCTGGAGCCTCCTGCCTCTCCTCCGGCTGCTGTGAAGCCCAGGGAGATGCTACAGGAGGCGAGGCCAGCACAGTGCTCAGCACCCAGGAAACCCATGGTGTGTGCCCGCCTGTATGGCCCCTGTGAGCCCTCCCCACCCAGGCACACCTGTCAGTGTTGAGGACGGCTTCCACCTCCGGAATGTTGGCCTTGAGCGAGATGGCACTGAGCTCGTTCAGCTCCTGGTTGTTGAGCAGCAGGTACTTGTTCCTGGCACAAATGGGTGGAGGAGTAAAGGGTGGGAACTGGTACTGCTGGGTCAGGAAGGGGCTCGTGCGGGAGTCCCCTGCCCACTTGACGGATCCGAGAACCCACAGGTACTTCCCAGCCCTGCCTCATTCTCCTGAGGTGGCCTTCTGCACCAGGGCTCTTACACTAGCCCAGTCTCTCTCTTCTGCCTGCTGTTCTCAGACAGAGCTCCTTCCAGCCAGGCCCTTCCCTGTAACTGCTGAACATTTCTATCTTATCTCTCAAAGGCACCTGTCACTCAACGAGTCTGAATTGAATTCAATTGACTCTTCAAGCCTGGAGGTCCTGGTCCAGGATCCCGACTAGGATGCCCTCAGTGACCAGAGTCAGCGGCTTGGGGGTCTCTTTGACACTCCCTCCCTCACCCAGGCCTGAGTCACTGGTCCAGTATTAGCACTGTATGAGCGACTGAATTAGGTTCTCTCTCCAAGAGACCAATTCCCCACATAACACCCAGCGTGAGCTTCAGAAAAGACGACTCTGATCATATCACTCCTTTGAGAATTAATTTGAGCCAAGCCTCTGAGCACGAACCATGATGGCCTGCCCAACCGGGCCGCCAACTAGCGTTCCAGCCTCTCTGAGAGCTGTCTGACCAGGCGACCGCTTCAACACCCCAACACCCAGGTTCCCTCACACAGGGACTTTCTGGATAGACCATGCTCCTCTCCTGTGCTTCCTTTCCACCCAACGAATCTTCCTGACTCTGGCTGTATGGCTGTGCCGTTCCTTCCTGACCACCACCGTCAAAGCAGGGCCCATCCTAGCTGCTCTCTCCCGGGCCATACCAGGAATCCTGCTCCTGCCCTCCCCAGTCACCTGACTGTCCGTATGCACTGGCACGTGGTGGGCATCTTGGCTTAGTGTCTGTCTTCCCTCCCAGACTGCATGCAACCTCTGAGCCCCTCCTGCTCATCACTCAGGCCCCAGGCCACTGCACGGCGCAGAGATGGGCTCAGATTTTACGAGTGAGATGAAAACTAAGGTTGTAGGTGCAATGTCTCAGGGGAAATAAAAGGTGCACATTCTTTAAAAATTGGCACCGTTTTCAGAGGATTCCCACATTTCCAGGTAGCCTCTCATAAAGAGGATGGTAACATACATGATCAAGAAGGAAGTTGCAAAGTGAGGCCCTGGGGCCACCTCTGTCCTCAGGCATGATCCGCCTGATCACATAGTTTTAAGAGAACTGAGATGAATATTTAAAAACGGCAACTTTCCAAGTGTAGACCTCCCATTTGGGATTTCCTGGGGGTAGGGGTGGGGGTGTGGGCGGGCGGAGATAAAGCCAGAAGTGCTGCGGGACGGTGGGCCCAGCTAAGCAACATAGAGCCCTCCATTCATGGGCCCCCAACCTCAAGGTCAAGGGTCAGCTGCCAGTCGTCTCTCCCAGAACCCTCTTTCCTACAGCAGCAGCACTTCCTTAGTCATTTTCTACTGAGGCTCAAAAAGCCAAAGGCCAGCAGGCACTCTGTGCTCCAAGAAAAATGGAGTGCACACTGCCTTGTAGAGGGAAACCACTCAGCCTGGGCAGCCCTGGGACCCTGCCCTGCTCACTCCTGCCTCCGGGGAAGAGAGCTGAGAGAGACCCTGACTCCAAGGGGGCCTCAGGGGCGTGGGTGTGGGTGTCAGCGCAGGGCCTGGCATAGAGGAACAGTTGGCTCTACTTGGTGGTGCTGAGGTTAACAGCGGGCTTCCACTAGCTCCCGGGTCCTCCTCCTAAACAGAAGCCAGTAACGGGCAGGGGAAGGAGAGAAGAGGCTGCTGGGAGATGAGCTCACAAGTCTCCTTCCCGGGAAGTACTCATACTTACTCATGGTGGTCACTGAAACTCTGGAGAAGCCTCAAAAACTGTATCTTCAGGGTGATGTCCTGGAAGACATGTATATCCTCAGGGTTAAAACCAGGCACAGGGCTCCACGAAAAAACGGGCAGTGGCTCTGGTGAGAGCCTGGCCCTGTCACTGGGCTTCTCTGAGCCTCTGTCCGCACGTACAACCTCCACATCTGACCAACAGCAGAGGGTGCTAAGGTGCAATCCTTTCCTGATTAAAACATCCCAACATCCTGGGTTGAAAAATAACAACAAAATTATTTCAAATATCAGGCTGAGCATGAAAGAAAGGGATGGAAGTCCACAGAAGTGGGACAAGGCAGGTGTCCAGAGGAGGAGTGGGTTTGGATGCCAACAGGGCAAGTTTATATACTTGGTGGAAGAATGGGTAGGAAAACTCTTTGTCTCCCAGCCCCAGGGAGTTGGCAAAGAAATGGGCCTCTGTTGGGGGATGGAGAAACCCTGGGCTGGCTCATACCACCAGGGAGGCAGGGACAGAGACTGAGCCTAAATCCTGGCCCTGGGCCTGCTTTTTTTCTCTAGAGGGCCTGGCAGGAACCAAAGCACCAGTGCTCTGAATTCCTCCCAGAACGTGGCACCCGCTGGGGAACTAAGTCCCTGAGGATCCCCGTTCCTTTAGTACCACCCCTCATGGAGCAACACTCGGTCCAAGACTGACCAAGGCCCCACCGAAAGCATGAGCGCAGGCGGAGAGAGCGCACGAGTAGGCAGGTCCCAGATGACTGGAGAGGGAAAAATGCAGCAGGAACAGAATGCAGCATAATGAACAAAGGCCAAGCAGTATGAGGTTTAAAAAAAAAAGGCCAGAAAGAATGCAAAGTATATTTGCTTGAAATTAAGAACTCAAATGGATGGGCCAACTGGGAACCTGACAGGAGCAAAGGGAACAGTGCCCAGGCAGCAGCAGCACGGGCAGCTTCACTGCCATGGAGGGCAAGGGAGTCTCCTCTTCTGGAAAGAAAACAGAGGCTCTCGGAGAGCAGAGACTAATTCAGAGCATCCCCACCCTCACCCCATATCCCTGCTTGCCCCAGGCCAGTGTGCTCCCCTGGGGTACTTGAGAGAGGTGAGAGAAGAGTTCTTGTACCCTACTGTCCTTTTCGCCTGCTGGCCGGTGGGGAAAGAGCCAGAGCCCAGACCAAGGGAAAGCGCGCTGCTGGCAGGGAGGGGACCTCTGAGGAACGCCTCAGCACAGGCCACGCCTCTCCTAAGGAGCTTCCAATGATGGCATCTCCACCGCGCTCCGCTCCCAAGGGGCAGAGTGGAGAGGGTCAGCAGAGGGCTCGACAACCTCTCCTGCAAGTAAGGCCCCACTGGTCCCGGGGCCCCTCGCTCACCGGGCTACAATCACAGTTCTGGTTGTGACCGTGGAGGACAAGGGCAGATGCTGAATGCTTCCTCCAAATCAGCTTGTCAAACAAGTTATTAAGCCCTGGTATCAGCTTGAATTCTGCAATCATCCTGTGGACCTGGATGGGCAGGAAGGGAAAAGCATTAAGACAGACGTCCACCAGATCTGGCGAAGCCTCGATCTCAGCCCGCACAGCTGCCACCTTCAGGGGGCGCACACTAGTTAGTGTGGAGGCCTGAGATTCACAGAAACACATTCTAGACTCTGCTCGTTCACCCTCACCAATGCTGTGCGTCCCACTATATGGCAGCTCTGAACCCTCACCAGTGCTGTGCGTCCCACTATATGGCAGCTCTGAACCTAACAGCATGAACTTGGGCGACAGTTACTAGCCCTGGGTTTGAATCTTACAGCAGCCTGGATGGACTCTGTACCGTAAGCAAATTTCTGACATATGGTTAGTTTCGTCATCATTAACGTGAAAACACTCCACACCACACAAGCTCCAATGGGGAGCTAGATACAAGTACTAAGCACAACAACTCCAAAGAGCCTAGAAAAGTGGGTGGTGAGACACTTTAAGAAATCATCTAAGAGTGGAAAAGTCTTTCTAAATATTACACTAAATAAGGAGCCAAAAAGGAGACTGTTAAATTCAACCACAGGAACTTTTTGAAACTGTGTGCAAACATCACTGCCGACCAGCAACTCACACCACAGCAGAGAGCTACTTGTCTTTCTATGGAGTCCTACAAACGCTTACCAAGACCACCACCACACCGAGCCTACCGAAAAACTGGGCACAGATACACAGACAGGGCCCGGAAATGCACGAGAAGTATTCAATTTCACTTTTAGTATTAAGAGAAAATGAACTCACAAGGCATCATGCACGTTTTTAAACTGGCAAAGAAAAGCTTTAAACAGGGTGTTGGCAAGGGTGTGGGACTCAGGCCCGCCCAGACTGTGGCTGGGAGCAGGGTACGCGAACTAGCACGACCTCCATAGGAGAGCAGACTGGCGCTCTCCCCAAATCACCAGGTCACATCCCTTGACCACTTAGGAAGAAATCTCATTTCTTCTCAGGCAGAGCCATATATTGTATATACCCATGTATAAGCCGGGTTTTCCAGCACATTTTAATGCTGTCTTTGTGGTAAAATTCGGTGCCTCAGCTGATATTCGGGTCGGCTTATACTCAAGTATACAGGTAAAAATTAAATGGTGTATGTCAAAGCTCCTCACGGCAGCATTACATAACCCATCCTGCCATCAATGGGGATTAAATAAATTATGATACAGCCATTCAACGGACACCAAACCAAAACCTATAGCCATCAAGCGGATTCTGACTCAGGGACCCCACAGGGCACAGATCTGTTCACAGGTTTCCTAGCTCGGAGGCTGTCGATCTTTATGGGAGCAGACCGCCCACCTCACTCTCCCGGGGCGCAGCTGGTGATGTTGAACTGCTGGCCTCTCGCTTAGCAGCCTAGCACTTGCCCACTGCACCACAGGGGCACACGCACCGGTTCGAAGGGAATCCAGGTCTGTGACGGATCGGGAATTGAACACTTGCCAGGGCCTGGGGTTAAGAAAGCAACTGTGCACACACCTGGCTACTGAACGCTGAAGTTTAATAAGCATAAAACGCCTCTGCAAGGAGACGCCAGTAAGTGGGGAAATCAGCTGCTTCGTGGGAGAACCGAAGGTCACAGGTAAAGAAGAGAGGCCGCACTGCTACCCATTTATGACTTTAGAGACAAAACGACACCAGTTTTACTAGTGAAAGATAAATGAGTTACACGGTATAAAAACAAAAGGCTGACACCGTGATGCCTTGTCAGGGCTGTGGTGAGGACAGTGGACAATGTGGGTGAGTGAGGGCAGTGGTGGGAACAGCGTCCTAATGCCGGACGCCATGCACCCAGCCTAAAGCCCAAGTCCCTTGATGAAACCTGGGAGCAGAGTGGGGGTGCTGACAGAGAGAACGCAGGGACAGGAAGCGTCATCCCTCCGGCTCACAGGGTGGCTGATTTCAGTGTAACACGATGGGTCAGAAAACGTGCGCAATGGCACACACCCAGGAAAGTCACTTCAGAGAGGTAGCCTTCCACTCCTGCCTCGGACGATGGCGCACCCAGGAGGGGCAGTGCTGTGTACTGGAGACTGTGCCAGTGGACACGAGCTTTGAGCCAGAGAGGCGTCCCACGCTGGCAGTCTCTTTCCAAGAGAGCAGAGCTCCCACCACAGGGGTCAAAGGCCACGGGACGCCCCGAAACTGGCAGCAGGAAGGCTGGGGGAGCCGGGAGCTGTGATCGTGAGGGGGCACTGCCTGGACCTCTTGGCGTGGGGGTTTCTCAAGTATCAGGTGCAAGGAGAGGGTTCTGCCACCTGTTGGGTAACTGCCAAAATTCAAATGTAACTGTCAGAATATCTTGGGGGAAATAAAGCACCTACCACTTCAGATGTCACCACCAGGGTGACCAGTACAATGGACTCAGCCAGGTCCTGGCTTCAAATGTCCCCAAAGCCCCGGACCTCTCCTCAGTGACCCTTCAAACCAGATTATTCAAGACTAAACTCACCCGCCGCCTCCCAAGCCCACTCCGTCACGTCTCTTGCGGATTTTAACCATTTCAACAAATGGCAAACCGATCCTCCCATCTGCCTAAGCCACAAACGTTAGGATGCCCTGCGGGCAAGCCCGCTTCTCCCCTCACTGCCTGTCCTCAGAGCAGAGGGAAGAACAACTTCCCACTTCAGCGTGAACAAGGACGTTTCTTACAATGCTCTGCTGCCCTCTGGCCTGATGCACCTCACCTCAGGTTTTTGCCTCTTCCAGTCTACCCACCCTCCTTCCTTACTGTTGCACTCAACCACCAGGTGAGACCCCACGACCCCAGGGTCTTTTGCTTCCTCTACTTCAGTAGTTCCCAACCGTCCTAAAGCCGCGACCCTTTAACACAGTTCCTCATGTTGTGGTGACCCCCAAACCATAAAATTATTTTCGTTGCTACTTCATAGCTGTAATTTTGATACTGTTATGAATTGGGCAACCCCTGTGAAGGGGTTGTTCGACCCCCAATGGGCTCATGACCCACAGGTTGAGAACCGCTGCACTACTTGGTAGGCTGCCCTGACTATGGGCACAGCTTCCCCTCACTTTCTTCAGAACACGGACAGGCCAAATGCCCTTTGCAAAGACCACGTTCCCTCACTACCCATCTAAAAGCCAACCCCACCTCCCAGAGCATTACCTTTATCACGCTCGCTCTACTTTAGGGGTAGCCAGGCTTGGAATCAACTTGCCGGCAACTGCTGCTTTAAATACATCAGGTGCTTGACTTTCTGGCCATCTCCCCTCACTAGGCTGTATATAAGGTCAGAACATTTTTATCGGTTTTGTTCATTGTTGCATCTTTAAACAATGTTTTGAACCAGCAACTGGACAAATCTAAGGTTCGTTCCAGCTCTTAAAGTCCACTCAGAACCAGCTCTCCATCAGCAGGACGAACACGCTCCTCGCCCAGACTGCGCTGATCACAGTCTCTACTGCTTTCTCTGAAAGACCTTCGTGTGTGGGTTTGAGCTGACTGGGAACCACTGCTTTCGCGGTCCGTCTCCCCCTCGGAAGGCCAGGCACTTACCTCAGGGTTGAGCCGTCATGTCAGATTCAAAGTGGTGCACAGGGAATGCTGAGCCCCAGCCTTCCCACCCAACTTCCTGCCCAGCTACTTTGATCCCACAAAGAACTAATCGCAGGGACACAGACGGTGGAGAGGGCTCCTTCTCAATCTTGAATGAGGCCTAGCACGTCCAGAGCCTCCTTCCCTTCTCCAGCTGGAGGCCGAGGGCTCTTGCTCCACCTTATTAGAATCCCAGCACATCTGGCGCCACCTGCTTGTTAACCCCATTTCCCCCCAAACATAAGCCCTTGTGTGGGAGCGTCATCACATTGGCAATGCCTTCATTTATCAGGTTTCGCCCCCTCCTCGCCGTCATTCTTTGTGCTAAAGGGCCAGGAATGCCTGTAAGCTTCTCACTCTCAACCTGTGTACCCCAGAGCAAAGAACAAGACTACGAGCTTTGGAATCAGACCTGTGCCCTTACGTGTCAGTGGGGCTACGGACACCAGCCTGAGGCTTGGCTGGGATAATGAGGGCCACTCTGGGAGAAGGCCTAAAGGAGGCACTCCGGAAGTGGGTGATCTTTGCTCGCCCTGCCGAGACTTCGGGAAGGTGCCCACCTGGTTGCGCTGACGGCCCATCAACAGTACGCAGAGGACATAGAGCACTTCCAATTTGTACATTATTTCATGCATAATCTTCATTGAGTGGGGCAGCTGGGTCCTAGTGGAAGTGTGAGGCAGGCCATTCTCCTCAGAAGCCCCTGGAAGAGGGAACACAACGGAGGCTGGGCAGCCACCAGGAGAGTGGGTGAGTCACAGATTTCTGCCCTTCAAACCTGTTCCAAACAAGCCTGAAGGCAGAGCTACCAGACCAGGCCTTGGGTCCATAATTGAGGTTAAACAGAAAATCTCCCTCCCAGACCTTTGCAATCAATTTAGAAACAAAAAAAATGGGCTCAGCAGTCTCCTACTTTGTCTCATTATCTTGAACAGGAAATAAATATCTTGACACAGGCAATACCATATAATCCAGTGCCCCCTTCCTCCAGTCATAGACACGCCCCACTCCCCCCACCCCCCTCGACAAGTACCCAGGCATCTGCCAGCGAAGTGGGCAGCACTCCCCTCAGGCCACAAAGGGCTCTTGAACATTCAGGGCCTCTGCTTGCCCAGGCTCAATACTCACTTCCCACAATCACACTGAACACCAAGTAAAGCATCTACACCCCCCCCCCCAAGGTGTAAACTTCAAAGTAAAAAGCATATATTGTTCCTGTAACCTAATTTCAAACAGAACATCAATTAGACAGCTTACGTGCTGCCATGGGGAGAAAGACTGGGGGTGGGGTGGGGTGTCAGGGTCAACTCGATGGCAGGGAGTCCGGGTTATTTTGGTGCTGTCACAGGCCTCCTCACTGGTGTCACCTTCTAATAAAAACTTCTATTTCTTCCTCTCACTTGGAGTTCCTGCATTGGCACAGTTTCTCCAGGCTAACAACTCTTACTAGCAAGAACTCCATTAAGAAATTATAGTCAGGGCAAGGCATGTTTTGGGGATCCTGAGCCTCCTTGATCCAGGAGACGGCTGTAACACTAGATTACAGCCTTGGAAACCTATGGGGCAGTTAATTCTACTCTTTCCTATAGGGTCACTATGACTGCAATCGACGTGATGGAAACAGGTGTGATTTTGGTACAATCTCCTGAACCGGTAACGTTTTCAAAGAAAATAACCTATTTCCAACTGCTGTGTTATGTGAGGGTCCCAATTTCTCCAGTCACGTTTGACTACAGCTATCCTAATGGTATGAACTGGTATCTTTTTTAAGGCTTTGGTTTACAATTTGCTGATGGTTAATGATACTGAACACCTTTTCATGTTAATTGGTTACTTCAATTTTCTTTAGAGAAATGGCTATTCAGATTCTTTGCCTATTTTTAAAATTGAGTTATAAGCTTTCTTTATCTATTCTGAATACAAGTACCTTCTCAATGCGGTGAGACCGGTGATAACCATTAGTCTCTGAAGCGCACAAGGTAAAGACCCCATGGCAGGGAGGAAGAGCGAGCCAGAACTTGGTGGGACTCTTGTTTGTCGTGAGGTTCCCACCTCTAACAGGGTATCTATCGTCTGAACACTTTACTAGTGCTCATTCTAGTGGAAAATACCTTCATTTTTTTCTGACAGTTTTCTACTTTATCAAGGTTTCAGCTTTCCCAGATTGTACGTTTCACCAGCTCCCAAACATTACGTAATGCCAGCAAACCGAGCTCTTTTCATGTCATTACGCAAACCAACCTCATTGCCAGCAAGTCAATCCTGATGCACAGCGACCCAGCAGGACAGAGAACAACTGCCCTGGTGAATGTGCAGGCTGTAAACTTGACAGGAGCGGAAAGCCTCACATTTTCCAACTGCCGCCTCTGCAGTTAGCAGCCCAAGGCACAACCTACTCTACCACCAAGGTTCCCTCTAGGCTACCATGAACACGTGGCAGTTCTCTTCAATTGTGGATAGACTGCACTCAACAGAGTGCAACGCCAACCGGGTTCCTGACAATGAAGTGAAACTTTCTGAAGTACATTGTTCCCGCAGGAGGATTTCTTGTTAATCATGGTTGTGGGTTCCAGTAACCCGGAACCCTCCAAGATCCACACGAGGCGAGGACAAGAAAACCAGAGTTGCCAAAGCAGTCGGTACTAGTTAGCAGCCTCTGCATGCCAGCTGTCTCCAGTGCAAATCCACACCCCATGGTGGAGTCGTTCCAGTACGCAGATTCCCTCCTCTGCATTTCTTCTCTTTGACCCTGATTACATTTGTATTTCACCTTTGGAAACCCAATGATGTTTCTTTTGCAATTAAGCATTTGAAATTGCAGGGGCAGTGAATTAGACAATGTGCTCTTCTAGCCAAAATCGCTAACTCCCACCAAACCACCTTTCTCTGCACGGGTCTAATAAGACAGGGTGTGTGCGCGGGGAGCGGGAAAGACACTGAGATGATTCCCCTGTGAGTAACTGTGAACAGGATGCCCTGGGGTGGCATCCTGCTGTGTATAAATGAGCCCTCTGAGACGCAGGAGGAGGGTTCTCATTACCAGCAACAGCCAGGAGTAGAAAGAGTCCTTTGGACCCAAGGTCTCTATACAGTGAGCTCCCTGGATGCAGATGACAGGTGTACCACCAGAGTAATAGAAGCAGAACCAGCAGATGGGCTTGTCAATCCACAGAACAAGGTAGGATGAATGCTTTTGTGAAGGCACTGGCTTGTGGGGTGGGGTGCCTCTGGGCACTTAATTAAGGAAGCTGGACTTGCTGACCCATGGAAATGGACCCGAGTGCCTTTGGGATAAGACCTATTGGAGCGAGTGGCTATGGGCACTTAATTCAGGGAGTTGGGTTTGCTGACACACAGACCTTTCCCTGTATGGGAGCTGCATGTCTTTGGGCTGAAGGTTACAGCGGAGTGGTATGCCCCTTTGGGCATTTATTAGCAAACTTTGTAAATGTCCCTGGAAACTACTCTAGGCATTTTCCATTGGCATTACACCTTGTTAACTTCCTTAATAAACTCTTTCATCATTAATTTTGTCTGTTGAGTTTCTGTGTAGCCATTGCAATGGACATTAGAAACCAAAGAAGTAAACTAGAGAACACTAATTAAGACAACATAGACATGCGAAAGGCAAAGCAAAGTCTCCTTCCTGGGAAGTAAGGCTGGTCTGTCAGGCTGGTTCTGGGTCTCTGCTGCCCTCTGCTGGAAGAAAGGTCTCGAGGCTTGGGTTTATCACTGGGTGGTGAAAAGTTACACCTTCAGCTACTGACCGAAAAGGCTGGCTAGTCCACACTGGAGCACCTTGGAAGAAAGGCCTAGCAATCTACTTTCAAAACATTCACTCCTTCACTACATTCGTGAGTGAAGCTAGTCCCCAAAGGGCAGACACTGTATGTGATCACTGAGATTAAAAAAAAAAGTTTTCATTCCAAAATACACCGACTATGACCCTATCAGGGTGGGAAGGACAGGGAGGGAAGGGGGCAAGCAACAGGCTGAAAAATCTGGAAACCCAGCCACGCTGAGACACAGAGGCTGCCAAAGCCAGAGCTGACTTGACCACAGTTAGCTTGGACACTAGAAATAAACGACCACTCATTTTTTCCTGCTGCCCCTGACTGTGTGGGGAGGATCTTTCCTCTTCCTATTAACTGCTCTTTTGTATCCATGGAGGTTTATATTACACAGAAGGAGAGGTTTAATATTTCGAGGTCTTAGCACAAAACCACATTTGGAGCAAAACACCAAAGAACTTGGTGAAAAGCATGACGACTCTGGACTCGAGAGTTGCCCTTGGCCTGAAAGCTAAACTCGCGCGATGGGTTTGCTCTGGTGAGTTGCTAACACTGGCTAATACTGACGGAGTTGCTGTTACGTGTCATCCAGTAGGTTCCGACTCACAGTGACCTTGTACAAACAAACAAAACTGTTCCATCCTGCATTTCTGTATGACTGTTGCTTGGGTCCACTACTACAGCCACTGTGTCCAGCTTGTTAAGGGTCTTTCTCTTTTTCAAAGAGATGGAGGCTTGCCATCTTCACTTCTTGGGAGAAGTCTGGCTGTGGATATCTAATCACTTGGCACCTTTTGTTGAAAAGCCCAGTTTCCCCACTGAATTGTCTTGGCATCTTCGCAGAAAATTCAATTGACTATAAATACAAGGGCTTATTTCTCGATGTCCAGTTCTACAACTCTATCCCATTGATCTATATGTATCTTTTCTTACGCCAATAATACATCCTCTTGATACCGCTGCTTACTAATCTGCTTCTCAATCAAGAAATGCAAGTATTCCAGCTCTGTTGTTCTTTCTCAAGATTGTTTTTAGGCTGTTCTGGGTCCCTTGCATTTCCATGAGTTTTAAGTCATTGGTTGTCAATTTCTGTTAACTAATGAAATCATAATATCATTGTCAATGAAATAATTTTGTCTTGTTTGTTCTTTGCCTCTCTATAAGAATGTCTGTACTCTGGCATTTGTTAAACCACTTGTTTTTAATGGAGCCTTCATCTACAGACATCGCCTTCTTTCTTTCCTTATCCAGATGCTTTGCAGTCTTCCCTGGCGTACTGTCCTGGCCAGCAGCTGTCGTACAACGTGGAACAGAACATCCTTGTCTCCCTCCTGATCTTGGGGAGGCGAGGCTTCAGTCTACTATGAGGTCAGCTGCAAGTGTATTGCAGATGCCACTGGTCAGTTTGAGGACCTGTCCTTCTACTCCTAGTTTGCTGAGTAGTCTGATTATGAAGATATGGTGGTTGTGAAAGGCTGTTTCTGATTATACTGAGATGATTTTTCTATTGCATTGATTGATTTTCTTATGTTGAGCCTACTTTGTATTTCTGGGATAAATCTCCTTTGGTCATGGTGTATAATCCTTCTTATATAATGGCTAGATCTGGTTTCCTAGTATTTGTTGAGGATATTCATATTCCATATTGGTAAGAAACACTGGTCTGCAGTTTTTCCAGTCCGGGGGCCCAGGAAACCCACTCCAAGTACCTTGGTTATGCTCAGATTCCTCGTTGGCCACTCGCATCAAGGCATCCAGCACCAAAGCATTGTCCAGCCACGTGTACCACTCCTCCAACTCCTGAAGGAAGGTAGTTGTGCCCGTCGACTCTGACACCTTGCGGGTTGCCAGTTTGCAAAGGCGCTCAACAAAGCCGGGGATACTGAGAAGGGCCGCTGCCAGGGAGAAAAAAGGGGAAGGATGTTTAATCAGAGATCAGCAACACCAACTTTGCAGTTTTCAACCAGCCACTGGCTCCCCACGAGTGTGACAGACTGCTTCTTACTCTGACAGTAGCTAGTCAGAGCTGCTCTTTAAAAAGGAAATGCCTCCCAAGGTGCTGTATAACACTGATGAAACATACAACTTTTTAAAAAAAAATCATTTTATCGAGGACTCGTACAACTCTTATTACAATTCATACACACATCCGTTGTGTCAAGCACGTATATTTGTTGCCATCATCATTATCAAAACATTTGCTTTCAGAAACATACAACTTTCCTCTAGTTCTTTAATGCTTCCCCCCTACCTACTACCATGACCCCAATTCTACCTTACAAATCCGGCTGTACACTGGTACAGGTAAGAGCTGGAAACACAAGGAATCCAGGACAGATAACCCCTTCAGAACCAATAATGAGAGTAGCAATACAAGGTGGGTAAGGGAAAGTTGGGGGGAGAAAGGGGAACCAATCACAAGGATCTACGTATAATCCCCTCCCTGAGGGACAGACAACAGATAAGTGGGTGAAGGAAGACATTGGTCGGTATAAGACATGAAAAAATAATAGTAATTTATAAATTATCAAAGGTTGATGAAGGAGGGAGGGTGGGGGAAGAAGGGGAAAAAATGAGAAGCTGATACCAAGGGCTCAAGTAGAAAGAAAATGTTTTGAGAATGATGATGGCAACAAATGTGCTTGACACAATAGATGGATGGATGGATTGTGATGAGTTATATGAGCTCCCAATAAAATGACTTTTAAAAAAGAAAAGGAAATGCCAATCTAAGACAAAATGAAAGTAAAGTTATACAAATTTAAGTTAAACTTCTAGCAGGAACAGGGAAATTGCCTGTGACATCCACAGTAGGAACAGAAATAATAATATTTTGTGCCTCAATGTGTCTTTAAGCTAGTTTGCCCATTTCTAGAAATTTACCACAGGGAAATGGGGCTCTTTGATGTGATTTCTGAAACAATACAGAGCTGATAACTAAATTTTCTTCAGTAGCAGACTGATTAAACACAAGGATACATCGACAGACTAGAATACAACGTACTCAAGTAAGAACGATGACACATCTTTATACAAGGGTGCGGTGGGGGGTGGG